CACTTTTATATTGTTTCTATTTAGGTGAAGCATATGTAACCAAGTGAATAAATAATCGCTATCAGTGTGACACAGCTTATTCCTAAGAGCTTTCAGTTCATGTAAGATTTGTGTTGCCTTTATTCTCTTTCTTACTGTAATATTGTGGTTACTGCATTTGGGGTTTTTGGGGACGCTGCCTCTTTAAGAGCAGCGCCATCTTAGAGCATGCATGCACGTAGACTCTGCATTCTGTCGAGCGGGAGTCTGGAAAGTTAACAGACTGCAGACATACATGGTGGTTAAAACTCAAGGTAAATACTCCAAAATACATCCAATCTGCTATACATGTGTGTCACAAAGTGTTTAGTAGTCTAGCAAGCCAAGTTTAATGCGTGATGGCTTTGTATTCGTGATGATTTCTGTAGATTGCTGAAACGTGCAACGCCTATCTGTTTAAAAGAGCCGACCACGCTGCGAGCGGAAGGCGCGGGTTGGCGTAAGTTGTGACTGTTCTGACGGAATTCAAAGTTTGTTTAATATTTGTTTTCATATATTTTGTACAACTTTCTTTGTTTCTGGGTGACCCAGAGGGGAGAGAATTTGCGGTGTCACAACTTGTGAGGGTGTGTGTTGGTGAGCAGGCCGCCCTCTGGAAAAGTGAGTTAATTATTTCTTCACGTTACTTGAAGTTCTAAAAATATTTACAAAGCATTTAATTCATGAATGTATGTTTATTAGGAAGCAAATGCACTTTAATGAGACAAATTTGTGACTGTGATATTACCTGTAGCCATGTATTTACTTGAATTTTGCTCTGTTTTCTGTCTGTTTAGGACAGGTCACTACTGTTGTCTATACTAGCAACGTTTGCATTTTTTTACTGTCCTGTATAGTGTGCAAGTGCACCTGTCTCTTACTAATATTGAGATCCTTATTTTGTATTTTTATTGTTCATTCCAACTGTTAAAATTCACAACAAAACAAATTAATACTGTGTTCTACTGGGCACAGTCGGGAAATAAAACAAACCCACAAAGAGAGTTTTCTGTGTCCTGTCTTTCCATCACGACTGGGTCACACATAACTTGTAATAAAGTCACATATGTGTAAATC